GCTATATATATATATATATATATATATATATATATATATATATATATATATATATATATATATATATATATATATATATATATATATATATATGGAAATTTCACAAACAAACATGTCACTTTTGCATAATTAAAGACAAAATATATTTATCTTGGTTATAATAATTTGTTACATGCTTAGACTTAGACTTACTTAGACTAACTTTATTGATCCATTAAGGAAATTATTTGGACACAGCGGCTCACACATCAGAATATGATAAAATAACAAGGAAGAAAAATATAAATAGTAATATATTATAAATAAGTTCCAGAAATAGCAAGAGACTGTTGTCAAATAAGGCATAATTATAGAAATGTTTATCAGGGTTCCGACTTCCAACTTTTCCATGAATTTTTCATGACCTAAAGTGAATTTTCCATGACGTTATGGCACCTACATGTGTAGAATTTATCATACTAAATATGAAATGTTAACCCTTTCCACTCACCTTATGGTTTGGTATTATAGTTTTTTAACATTCAAAATACTGTCAGTGCATTTATTGTCGTCTCTTTTAAACAAAAAGGTGCATACGTTCGGAAATAATCATAATAGTCTAATGAAAACTTAACACAACACTGCAGAGGCGTGAAATATACTAAATATTGCACGACTTTTCCAGGATTTCCATGACTGTGGGAATCCTGGTATATGTACGAGTAAAGAATTTATAAGTAATAAATATATCTCAGCTTTAATACAAGAGGTGTTAAGAAAAATAGTGCAAAGATTATCTGATTTTCAAGAGCTACCGTGACCTGCTGCCACTCTCAGACGCTCATGGCCATTGTTTGTGTTTACAAGCAGCCTAATTTTGGCCTAATTACCCTTCCATTTCCATTGTCACTCAAACATTGAAAATACCGGCGCAATCGAAGTCTACAGCGACCAGTACTGACCATCCCTAAAAGAATGCGTGTTCATTCACTCACCGGGCTGTAGCTCTTTTTGAATACCATGTCAAAGCCCCCAACTTCCCCAGACTTGAACCGCATGACCCCCCCCAGGACAGGACATGACATAACCCCAGTATAGAGCCTCTTCCTGGGCAGGTTCAGGCGGTGGGGCTCTTGTGGGTGCGCCCGGCTCCATCAGCTGCTCTCGGCTCTGAATGGAACGACAGGAAGCCCCCTCCCAGCGCTCGCAGTCTCTCAGCCGGCTCAGCGCTCAGGCATTTGTTTTAAATATGTTTCCTGGATTCTTGTTTCACGCATCCTCTTCGAATGCAACCGCGACTACTGAAACTGAGCAGCCACAAAAATGTTCAGCGAAAAGTTGTAAATGTAGATAAAATAGCTCAGAACACAGCCGCTAACGACACCAACCCTCTTGAAAGTGGACATACAACTCTAACCACTTAAGCTGGTGTTAAAGCCATTTATAAACAATGACAATAGCTATAGCCTAGAACAGCTGTAATATTTTCCATTCCAAAGCAACCAACAATAACAAAGGTGAACTATGTACCGTATTTTTTGGACTATAAGGCGCACTGGATTATAAGGCGCATTAAGCAAAACAAACGGGCGGCACTTGAGTCTGATCCCTTAGCCCAGGCGTCCACGATCCATCGGCAGATCGTGGTGTAATTCGCCGGGCGTTGCCTCCCTGTCTTGGTGAATGTGGATTATGAATGTGAATGTGGGAGGATTATTAAGTTGTTGTTTTTTTTCTACGAAGATGACTCAAATATACATTGAGTAATAATGTGTTTAATGCAGCTTTGAGCACATTTGTTTATGCTTTACAGAAACAAAACTTAAAACCACATGGATAATTTGAATAAACTAAGTGCTGAAAAAAAGGCTCCTTGTGCGCAGACGCGGTGCAGCTTCTGTCGGACTAAAGGACACGACTCAGTGGAATATGAGTGTTCTTTCTGTGACAGAGGATGTGCTGCTGATGGTGAGTCTGTTCTGTGCTTCTATCACATTGGAGATGGTCCATGTGGAACTTTTCAGAGATTATAAGTCTGCAGATCATACGCATAGACCGTATATATGAATGGACAAATATTCTCTGTAGCGTTTCATTGAGGTCATAAATGCAACACAATATCATCTTTTATACAGAACATACCGGTAAAAAAAATTATACGCAGTGTTATAATCATTTTAGACATCAAAAGGGTTTTGTAGCTCCGGGTGTTTTCTTTTCTGTCAGATGGTCCGAATGGCTCTTTGAGTATTTAAGGCTGCCAACCCCTGATATACATGAACACCAGGTTTAAATACTAGCCTATACTTCACCCTTACTCCGTGAAGATCCTGACTATGGTAGCCATAATGCTCTGACAATCCATCAAGTGGTTCGGCTTCGTAGCTTACCAAAGTCATACTAAAACATTTTGATAGATTTTTGAGCTCGTGTACCACATAAAATCAATTCGATGTCAGGAAGCACAACCAGAATTAATACATAAAGTGCACCGGATTATAAGGCACACTGTCGATTTTTGAGAAATTTAAAAAGGATTATAAGTGCGATTTATAGTCCGAAAAGTATGGTAACTTTTCTGGTGATCGTCTACCTCCTGCCTGTTCCATAGTATGCCATTAAGCCAATTTATCTCCATGGAAACAAACTTATAACGCCACCAGGCCAAGTTACAGGTCAGATCTATGGAGAGGCCACCCAGCAGAGAGAAAGACATTTCTGAACAAAACCTTTTTAAGTGAACAAATATGTTTAAAGACATACTGGAGAATATTCCAGACAGAGCAATGACATTTCCATGGAGACAAGTAGGTAATGGACCCCCGCTATTAGAAAGTCAGCCAATCACAACACGGCATCTTACTTCCAACCAATCAATCCAACCAAGACCATATATAGTCTGTCACATCCTTCCTGCGTATTCTTTCTATCTATAGACCAAAAACTTGCTCGACCGCAGCAGCAGAACCACAAGTCCCCTCAGCCTCTCCATCTCCCCCTCATCACTACCAGGGTTTAGGCACCAGAGTGGGTAAATTCCACTAGGGCCACACTATTAATCACAATCAAATCGAAATTGCAATTTAATGGAGGCAATTGGCAAAAGCTGCAAGGTTTGAAAGTACCATAATTTCCTCCACAAACAAAATACTCTTATTCTGCATTAAAAAAACGGCTGTACCCTGTTAGTTTAGAGCTGTAAAAACATGTTTCGAAATGTGATTCTTTTGTTAGTCTTTTTATCAATTCTTCTGGACGAGTTTAAAATGCGAAGCTTGAACAGAATCTGATTATTAAAACATAAACAGCAAATTGAATCAGAATGCTTGTCAGAAAACTGAAATTAGATATTCAGTCCCGATTTCCACAAACAAAAGCATCATTCTCTTCCATCACTGCATTCCCAGGATCTGAACCAGGGACGCACCGATCCAACATTTTCAGTTCTGATACGATTCCAATACAATAGTACCTGATACCAACCGATACCAGAGCTGAACGGTATTTATTTCCTTAAAACTAAATAATAAAAAGAGACAAAACAGATCCGAATGTGTTCTGCACGTGTGATTTATCTCTTAAGTAACGACAAAACAGCTTTGTGTTTAATATCGACAGAACAAATATTTGGAAGCTGATGTCCAATCCAGCAAATTCTTCAGTATCGGCGCTGATATCTGATACCAGTATCGGATCAGTGCATCGCAAATCTAAGCACCAAAGTTCATTTCGATACTTTAAACCCCAATCTTCCATCTTGGTTGAATTTGTGAATTTAGATCTGTACAAACATGTTCTGAAATGTGATTCTTGAGTCTTTTTGTCGATTCTTCTGGAAGAGTTTAAATAGAATCTGATTATTAAAACATAAACGGCAAATCAAATCACAAAGCTTGTCCTCATTTCTACAAACAAAAGCATCATTCTCTTCCATCACTGCATTTCCAGGATCTAGACCAGGGACGCTCCAGCTTTTTTAGTTCCAATACCAATTCCGATACTAGATCTCAAGTATCTGCTGATACCCGATATCAACTGATACCAGAGGTGAACGGCATTTATTTCCTTAAAACTAAATAATAAAAAGACATCCAGAACACATTTGGATCAGTTTTGTCTGTGATTTATCTCTTAAGTAACAACAAAACAGCTTTGTGAAAATAAAAGTTCAAACATTATGAGACTTTCTGGGCCAAATACGACCAGTAAATCGTCTCATTTCATTGATTTATATCGACAGAACAGATATTTGGAAGCTGATGTCCAATCCAGCAAATTCTTCAGTATTAGCGCTGATATCTGATACCAGTATTGGATCAGTGCATCGCAAATCTAAGCACCAAAGTTCATTTCAATACAGGAAACCCCAATCTTCCATCTTGGTTGAATTTGTGAATTTAGATCTGTACAAACACGTTCTGAAATATGATTCTTGAGTCTCTTTGTCGATTCTTCTGGACGAGTTTAAAACGTGAACTTTGAACAGAATCCAATTATTAAAACATACAATTTCCACAAACAAAAGCATCATTCTCTTCCATCACTGCATTCCCAGGATCTAAGCCAGAGACCCACCAATCCAGCTTTTTTTTTTTTAGTTCCGATACGATTCCGAAACAATAGCTCAAGTATCTGCTGATTTCCTTAAAACTAAATAACAAAATGAGACAAAACTGATTCAAATGTGTTGTGCATCTGTGATTAATCTCTTAAGTAACGACAAAACAGCTTTGTGAAAATAAAAATTCAAACTTTATGAGACTTTCTGGGCCAAATACAAACAGTAAATAGTCTCATTACATGAATTTATCTCGACAGATATTTGGAAGTCAATGTCCAGTCCAGCAAATTCTTCAGTATTGGCGCTGATATCTGATACTGGTATCAGATCAGTGCATCCCTAATCTAAGCACCAAACGTTCATTTCGATACTTTAAACCATACTCTTCCATCTTGGTTGAATTTGTGAATTTATAAAGACTTTACAGAGCCTGTGGAGGTGCTCAAAGACACGGACTTACCCACTACCATGAGCGTGAACTCGAAGCCTCTCTTCACTGATTTTCTGTACACTTGGTTGGGGAGGTTTGCGAAGCCCACGTAGCCCTCCAGGTTCTTCGGTTGCTGTGAACCAAAAATAAACTGGGTTAAATCTTCTTCTTTGGCGGCAATTCAACAGCTCTGGGACATAACTAGTGATGCTTACAGACAGAGCACTGGAACAGATTTCATTTTAAAGCAGCGCTGTTTCTGCCGGAGGAGTTTGGACTTTTTGATTCTCCAAAGAGGCACACTGCGATATAGGACTAGGGCTGCGCTCAATTTAGCAATATTTTTAAAAAATCAACAAACTATGAACATAAAACACAAGTTGGATAATCTTAAAACTAAAAGGTTGAAGGACTCCAGTATCAATTTGGACCTTGGGCAACAAACTTTACCCCCCTAGAGTGAATATTTAAGTATGAATGTGGGGTGTGAGTGTTTATTTTATTTTTAATCTTGTAAAATAATTATTAGAGGTGGTCAGAGGCAGCCACATCTTTGCTGTCAGACCCCAGGGTGGTTAAGGTTTAGTAACACTTTATTGTCCGAGTAGGAGTATTTGTGAACCTTCTGACTCATCCTTCGCCCTGACAGGAGCAGTGGGTGTCATAGTGCAACGCCTGGGGACCCATCTCCAGACCTTGAGCTTGGCTGGGTTAGGTCTACCTTTATAGGAAGATTTTGTGCATGTTTTAAAGTTGACGTGTGCATTGTGAATGAATAAGGACATGCAAAACAACACTGTGCCCAAAATAGATAATATGCCTTTAGTGTAGATCAACTTTTTCCTCTGATGAGCTACCTTTACAAAACGAAGTAAAACGAAAATTGAGTATAAGAGCCACATCCTTAGACGAGTACAGTTAAGCTACGTTCAGACTGCAGCCTGAAGTGACCCAAATCAGATTTTTTTGGCCCTACGCGACCTGTATCTGATCTTTTAATGACAGTCTCAACAACACAGATCTGACACAGATTTTTTCAAATGCGACCCAGGTCACTTGAATATGTGCTCCTAAAACCGATACATATCCGATCTTTTGACATGCCACTTCAGTCTGAACGGCCAGGTCACATTCATCCCACCTACATGCTCAAAAAAATGTACAGAAACGTTCTTCTCTTCATAAGAAAATTGTGAATGAACTCCGTGTCCGTGAAGCAGTGAAGCACATCGCAATCCCACCACTGTTGGCTGCGACTCTGCACCCACACGTTCTTTTCTATGGACGTTGCTGCCACTGCCCCACAAAAAACCATGTCCAAAAACCTCATCCTTCTCCTTCTCAATCTCCTCCTTAAAACAAATAAGCTGTACATGTTCTGGCTCCGGTACGACAGCAAATTTAAAATCTCCAGGTGCTCAACGCCACGACCATGTTTAAGTGACTTCCGTAAAGACTGAACACGCTCGCTGTGTGTGACGTTGTCGTGTCCTCCAGTGTGCATGTGGGACAGTTTTGGGGCATTTAAATTTCACACTAGAGATCACATACAAGTCAAATTTAATTGGAAATGCGAACGACCTCGCAAAAAAAAAAAAATCGGATTTCCCAAAAAAATCCGAATTAAGCCCTGCAGTCTGAATGTAATCTTAGACGGCTATGAAACAAATCATTATCCATTTATTAGTGCACAGAGTTAGGCATCAAAATGAGACGTACACACTGGTAACAGACTTTTATTTAACACAATTTTAGATAATTTCAGCACAATACATATAATTCAGAAATCCCTTGCCGAGCTACTTGGAAGGGGGTGGAGGTTAGAGATTGCTGGTACAGATCATACAATAGCCATGACTGTATTTCATTGTATGGTTCTAGTTTCTCTCACTAAACTGTTGCATTATTTATGGACTCCTCGCTCACACGCAGAGGTGGTGGTTTTATCCAACTTCTGAAGCCACATGACAGAAGGATCGATGCATAGTATTACTGCCAACAGCTGCTGACACATGCAAATACTCCACACAAACATCTGCTTTTACTTAGACGTCTTGTTGTGTTGTGTTTTTTTGAGACATTAAAGGCGCACCGTGTAACTTTCTGCTGGAGTGTCTGCCGTCGACCCGTCTCACAGAGTCCCGCACCAGGTCGGGTAAGGACGCGAATAGTTGCTGAAACGGGCGGGTTTTAACATTGGTGATTACAGACAGACGGGTCAGGTGAATCACATGAACGACGAACAAGAGAAAAATACCTGACGTGTGTCCAGGACGTTTGTTGCCCTGGAAACAAGTGTCATTTCCCAAATCTGTTCCTGGAATGATGGCAGACCAGGTTGAGCGAGACTTTAGTGTATTTATTACGTAAAACCATCAGCGGAGGTTATCAGCTCGGCGGCTGCGCTCCTGGTTTAGTCCTGGTCCAGTCCTGGTCCAGTCCTGGGTCCAGTCCTGGGTCAAGCCCTGGGGATCGGCTCTTCAGTTGCGGCGTGTATACATTTATAATCCGATAATGCCACGGCCTGGGCCTAGTCTTGGGCCTAGTCCTGGGTCTAGTCCTGGCGATTGGCTCGGTGGTTGCGGCGTGAATATATTTATAATCTGATAATGACACGGCATAGGTTTAGTCCTGGTCTAGTCCTAGTCCTGGTCTAGTCCTGGTCTAGTCCTGGTCTAGTCCTGGTCTAGTCCTGGTAGTCTAGTCAGGTCTAGTCTAGTCTAGTCCTGGTCTAGTCCAGGTCTAGTCCAGGTCTAGTCCTGGTCTAGTCCTGGTCTAGTCCTGGTCTAGTCCTGGTCTAGTCCTGGTCTAGTCCTGGTTTAGTCCTGGGTTTAGTCCTGGCAATCGGCTCAACGGCATGTATATATTTATGCTAATGACACTGGTTCAGTCCTGGGTCCCGTCCTGGGTCCCGTCCTGGCGACTGGCTCGGTGGTTGGGGCATGAATATATTTATAATCTGATAATGACACAGCATAGGTTCAGTCCTGGTTTATTAGTCCTGGGTTTAGTCCTGGGTTTAGTCCTGGGTTTAGTCCTGGGTTTAGTCCTGGGTTTAGTCCTGGGGTTTAGTCCTGGGTTTAGTCTTGGTGATGGGCTTGGTGGTTGAGGCGTGTATATATTTATAATCTGCTAATGACACGGCGTAGGTTCAGTTCTGGTTTAGTCCTGGACTACTGGGCAGACCCTGCTGGGGGTGGAATGTTAATGGGTCCAAAATGGGCGGGTGCGGATTTAACTTCGATATAATCACGGGTTAATGGACAGGTGTGGTGCTGTACTGCTCGCGTCTCCAAAAATGGACCCGTGCAGGACTCTGGCGTCTCATGGAGGTCTGATCGGTCTGATCGCTCTGATTGGTGTTACCTCCTTATGTCCATGGAGATAAGTTTAAAGCCACAGTGTCAAACATTTCAGGCAAAGGAATAAAAATCTCCATGGAGACAAAACGGTGGAGGACCCTAATCCAGAAAAGTTACATAGCGCTCCTTTAAATTTGCACAACTGTTTTCTTTTCTGTATATTTCCTCATTTTATTCTTACACAACTTGAGGACGAAGTTTTGTAGTGTCACAGTTACTCGCACTTTTGGAGGACAGCTATTAAAAACCAAATCCTCCACCACAAAAGCTGAAAAATCAGTGAACCATCTCTGCTCAAAATGACAAAAGGTGTTTCCTGTGAGCGCTCGGATAAAATGTCAATTATTTTGGAGATTTGCTGAGTGGTGGAAATGACTCAGCTCGATGAATGCTTTTCAGTCTGCTGTGTGGACCCCGAGGACTCATAAAGAAAAAATGAGACTTAGTACAATACTCACAGCTGGACCGGAGAATGGAGCGGTCATGGAGAGGGTGAACCATGTGGGGGCATCGGGAGGCAGGACAGATGGGACATAAAAGAGACAAAAAGAGACAAAGAAAAATAATTAGTGACATGATTTTAAGTGTAAAATGGGGTATGATGGCTAAAAAATGTCATGATGTTTAAAAAAAAAATACATTAAATTTGAACAGTGTTTTTGTTTTACCACAGTTACCCTGAGGAGATGTGGGTGGCTGCTCTTTCTCACACTACATTTATACTTATGCAAAGTACAGGAAGTGTCTTGCTCAAGGACACGGCAACAGAATGCACATTTTTAACCACCCTAAACTTGAATCTTCATACGTTTAACATATCCATTTTGACCAGGAGAGTGCAAAAATCGTATTGTTTTATGTGACGATACAGTATTGATATATCACCAAGAGTATTTTTTGGCATGTTTTACTAAATTATTTTGTTACAGCGCTACAGTTTTGTTGCTTGTTCAGAGGAAGGAAGCTCGTTTATGTGACATTTTCACTGTTTTGATGACTAAAATGTTTGTGTTTCATATGAACTTTGCACAAGAAGTGGTTTAACAAAGACTTTTAGTATCACAACCATGACTTAGCCTCTATTTTTATTGAACCGTATCGTATCTAGGGATGTAACAATAACCCAAATATTGTGATATCGTGTCGTCAAAAGTATCACAATAATATCATGGGCTGTCACAATATATCAAACATCACAAGTTCCTTTGCTTAAATGCATTTTTTTACAGTAGCAACAGCTTATAAACATCGGGAACTACATATCCCATGATTCATTTCAGTGCAAACAACATGAAGAAATATGTTTTTACTTGAATTCTTGGGATTATGACAAAAATAATTCACGCCAAAATCTTGTCAAGGTATTTTAAAAACAAAAAAGTGTCCCATCTACAATTACATTAGTCTCTTCAAAATATAAATATTGTACCTTGAGATGCATATCGTGATAATATCGTACCGAGAGATTTGGATATCGTTACATCCCTTGTCAAATGTGTTGCATAAAAGAGTTTCCTTCCAAAACTGTAGTGCTGTAACAAAATAATTTAGTAAAAGATACCAAAAAAATACTCTTGCCGATATATCGATGGCAGCCCACAATATCGATACTGTATCATCACATTAAACGATACTATAGCAAGATTGATATTTTTGCACACCCTTAGTCGGTACCACCAAAATATGTTGTTTCTATAAATTGAAAGAGGGAAAAAAGAGAATTACTATTAATTACATATTTTTTTCCTTTTTCAAATTTTTTATTTTTCGTTCTGTTTTCCCTTCTGTCCTTACTAGGGATGGGCATTCGGTGAAATTT